TTTGGCAAAGTAAAATGTATTTAGTGAGAGAAAATGAAAGAGAAAAGCATAACAAATGAGAAATGAAGAAAAAAAAAGAAACCGAACGTAAAATAATGAAATGCAAACAACGTGACACATTTGTACTATTGTTACAGTTATTATTGTTCTTTATCAACTGTGAACCCCAAAACAAAGCGATAAATATGGTTTTCGAATTTCAAAATATTTGTATTAAATGAGGTTCTTGATAGTGATGGTGGTGGTGCTGTTGTATGCTGTGTGTATATTTTCATTTATCCTTTGCATATTGCTCACATTTTATTTTACAAAGAAAATAAATTTAAAAAAAACAACAACTAATTCACATAACTTTCTCAACGAGCAAATTCGATAACACAAAGTCAACGACAATGGCAAAGCAGTTGAAGTGAACATTCAAAGTTAGCCTCAATTCGTTTGCAATAAATTAAAATTTGCAAGCAGATAAGACAATAAATGGCTTAATGTGTGTCAATAAAGTGATTTTTAGTGCAGCATTACATTGTATACACGAACAAAGGCCAACCAACCCATTTGGGTAGTTTTGTTTCGAAATCGAACATTTTGGACGATTGCGTGCATTCGAGCGGGCAATCATAAACGAATCAACTTATTATGGTCTGATACATACATTTCAAACCATTCCCATAAAACTCTTTCGATGATGGAATTTTGTTTGGAAACTTCCCAAGTGCAACAGCTCTATCTTGTAATTGTAAGTCTTATCAAGAGAACTGTGATAGTTTAATGCTAGTTAATGGTTTGACAACACGCAGGTTAAGTATGCTGCTCGTTCAATCAATAACATTCGCCGTTGATTCTGTCTCCGTAACACATATGTTTTCATCTCTCTTTTTTTTTAATCTAACTTTCTGTTTTTCCTTTTCCATTCGGTTCATTTCAATTCAATAATCCAAATACTTAAAAAAAACACACAGTGCCGTAAAAACAGACGGTAATATGATAATTAAATGCACAAATATGGCATTTCTAAGCTTTAATTGGCTGAATAGTATAACAGAATAACCAGTATTTTTCTTCTCTTTATTCTTATGGTTGTTTTTGTTATTTTTCAACATTTTAATCAGAATCGTTCTTTGTTTCTATGTTAAATATTCATCGTCTTGATGTATACATATCAGTCGACGCACGTAATGATATGCTTTACTGTTATTAATATAACATGCGTTCTCAAATACTATTTTTAAAATAATTTTGTTAGTGAATTGAAAACACACCGTTTTTTCTCTCGTTCCTTCTCATTCGAATAAAAGGCGAATTGCTTTTGTCATTTTTGTCTCAAGTGGGCGAAAATTTTGATTAAAAAAAAAACAAAACACAAAAAAAAATTCAGAGAAAATGCGTAAAATTAAAATAAGTAAACTGAATCGTTTTAAAATGTGTTTGTTTTTTTTCTGCGCTTTCGTTTGTTTTCAACACAATTCCGATTGTCAATTTGTCATATTCGAGAATTTATACAATTCGCCACACGAAAAGCAATAAAGCTAGACAGTAGAATCATCGGAATCGGAAACTTGAAATTTTATTTTCATTGTAAAGTGAATCGATTGCGTAAAAGTCGATGAGTTGTAAAGACTTAGTAAAGATTTCTGTGATTTAGTGGTCATCCCGATGCTTTTTTTTTCTCAATACAAACTGACAATTTGATTCACTTGCTTGAGCAATTTTATCGCTTGCGCTGAAAGAGTTTATTCGAATATTTTTAAATTTGCCAAGAATCTATACTATACAGAGAATAGCATTACAAGTTGGATGCGTGTACGATAATCGTGTCTGTTATATATTTGCACGATGTCGTCGTTTGTTCGTAAATGTTTTTTTTTTCATTCTCATTCGTTCTTCGCGCTTCTCAAAAGCTGTGGGTGTGAAATATTTAACAGTTGGTCGCAGAAAAAAACCACATCCGACTCAAAAAAAATGTACATCTCAAGAGGATTTTAAATAAACAAAGTATGAAAATAAATTTTGCGATTTGGCTGCTATCCGTCCCTCTTTTTCAAGCGCTAAATCAAGTTGGATATGATGTGAACAAAGTTTAAGTAAAAAAAATATATCATCATCATCGTAAAACTCAATCGTTTTTCGGTGTGCGCTCATTCGCTTATTCATTGGAAATGTATCGAATGATTTTCTACATTTTGCTTAGATGTATAAAATCTTTTAATGCGCGCGCGCCCGTGATTTTGGTGTGCTTGAAAAACCAAATGCCAGATATTATTTTCAGACATTTTTTTTTCGGTTAAAATATGGTATTTGCAATATTCTGTCATGGTCAAAATAGTTTGCTATCTCGCTCTCTCTCTTTCTTATGTTGAGTAAGAACACCAAATTCTATTCGACAAGACGAACATTTTCTATAAGACGATTCATGAGCATTTGGTTTGTTGGTTCTTTTCTTTTTGCACATCCCATCTATTATTTAGTATTAAGGCATTTTCTTTGCTGCTTATAATTTTGTATTTTTTTCTTCTTCGTCTGTGTCTCTGATTTTGTGAAAGAGCACCAGAGCAGGTTGAAATGACGTTAATTCCTTTTTATTCCGTTCATCGCTAGAGTGAAAGAGAGGTTACATCACATCATAGATCCGATCACGTAACACATAAATACTGTATCGTTTCAGCATATTCTATAATTCGTTTCGTATTTACTGTCCTTTATTATTCTGTGACAACATATTTATTCCTTTATAAACAACGTTGTAATTTATTCCACATCGATTACAACTCGGACTTAAAATTTTCCGTTTAGCGGTGCCGTAGCGGTGCTAAGGAGGAAGAGACGCACAGTGAAAAAAAAATATGCACATTGTGTGCCGAGTGTGTAATATATTCTTCAAACTGGATATTTAAATGATTCCTAAGCACGTATTTGTCATGATGCATGACAAGACACGCGGCTGAATGGCTTATACCGTTGTTGTTGTTGTTGTTCGTTCTCGTATGCTGGCACATGGGTGTCTTTTTTTCGTATTCGTATTGTACAATTGTGTAATTGTTAATTTTTAAATGACGTGTATTTTTATCAAAACTGCGTCATTGCTTTTCTTTTGCTCTCACGAAAATCACATCTTTATGTAAATTTATATTTCGCGTATATGGTAAAATGAAAACAGACGAATGGAATAGAAAAGAAAAGGAACACCACATAGAAGAATTCACTTTGATTTCTCTCTTGATTATTTATTTATTCGTATTTGCATGATATGATTACATCCGTTCATGGACATTTTCTCGAATCGTAAACATTCGCACAAGTTGCATTTTTCGATTTCATTTGCAGGATTACAATTCTTTCACATAACGGATATTTGAATTCAGTGAATGATTATGTGGGAGCATTAAAAGTTGAGACTAGAGTTCAAGTTTCTTTGTTGATATCTCCTTTTTTTGTAAACGAAATTTTGAAACGGAGACAAGCGAATGGTTGCATTTCAATAATTTGATCGCATACATGCTGCGGCAATGAAGATGTTCAGAACATTAAATTGGATTTTATGTGACCCTAAATTAAATCCACACAAATAAAAATAGCACATTTGATATGCAAACCAGTCACACAGTCAAATGCACGACGATCGTTGAGTTGTGTTTCCTTTGGAATATGAAAAAATAAATAAGCAACCGTGACTATCATATACATTTAATTAATAGTTTGAAAAAGAATCAGAATAAAGTGAAATGGAACGTATTGCGACTGGGTGCACGCAAAAGCAACTGAAAAAACACTAAGTCCGAGTGATGTGATATATATTATAAATATATTATAATACTCTTCAATATCTATATGTGAATGGAGAGAAAGAAAGAAAAAATGGTGTCGGAAAAACATTCTCGTTTTTCAACTTTAGTGAAAGACGGCATGCGTTTATGTCACAGTAGGTGTAAAAATGAATTTTAATAGATTATATTATTTCGCGCGGTTTTATCTCACTCTCTCTCTCTCTCGGATTTTTCACCATTTTTCTCTGGTTTGTTCGTGCCTCTCATCATTTTCGCTCTCTATCCACCAATGCCGATCAAAATTGGTTTTAAAAATAGAACTATTTCTTGTGTTTCACATCGTAAACCGAATTCGCTCAAACGCATTTACTCGGTCGCTCGTGAAATGAAGCAATTCGAAACGTTGTGCTCATTCACTGAATGATAACACGATTTCTCTATGTATTTGTTTTTGTTCATCATTGAGTGAAAATTGACTAGTTTGTGGATTTATAATTTTAATTTATCTTTAGATCGTAAATCTATCAATGAATTTATCACTTTTCTCTCTTTCCTTGTATTATCCTCTGTTCAAATGAGGGTCATTTCCTTTTGGCTGTTTTTTTAAATATTACATAAAAATCTTGTTTGCCGAGTTTTTTTTTCATTCGCATTTGCTGTGTGAAAGCACACATAAATTTGCGACCCGAAGGAAAAATGTGTTGTCATCTGCGATGCTTCAAACGAACGAAACATTAAAATACAAGAAACAGGACTTCAATAATAAAATTGATTGTGGAAGGTCATGATTCAAACCATATTTTTTATATCATCAACACGTACTAAAGTTTCTTATTACCACATTTTGTCACTTGTGACTTGCATTTAAAATCGATAAAAATCAAGTACACGATAAAATGCAACGAAACAAATATCCAATAAATGGTCAGAAAAACAAATTGACGTCTTACTCCACCATACATCGAATATATAATGGCAATGAGATAAAAACATGGTCGAAAAGGATGAATCGAAATACAATCGTAATTATTACGAATGATGCGAAATTAAATCATTTTCCATATTCTCACGTTTCATTTCATATTTTTACAGTAATCATCACTGTTTACATATACGCAATAAACAAATTACCAACAATAACAATAATAAAACAAATTTCAAACGTACATAAATGAATGAAAAGAAAATTTAATCACATCGGTCGTTTGAATCGAATAAAACGAAGAAAAATCGTCTTACCTTTTGTACAACAAGTGGTGTTCCGAAGTCTTTTCCACCTTGGAGACGGAGTCCCCAAGGTTGTGCATCGACACGATTCAGACGTACATTTATCAGTTGTGCCATATCTGAAATGCAATAATAATAACGAACATAAAAATTAAATAAAATCAAAATCGTTGAAGAATGGAAAATGGAAAGAAAAAAAATAAATAAGAGCGAACGAATTGTAGCGTGGCATCACAATGTGGCAGAACAATTCCACCGAACAAAATTGAAACAAAAATAGCACAGAAAAAAGAATTTTCAATTAAAACGCTTTGAAATTATTATGCTGTGAGCATTGAGTTTGACGTTTGTGGCGTGAGCAATTCAATGTATACATTGTACACACAATCATGTGTGTGTGTGTGCACACAATATGCAATTTCATTCGGTCGACTCTTAATCTTTTTTATTTCATTGTCGACGGCTGCCTTAGTTATGGTTATTGATGCTATATTCTTGAACGCATTTGCTTTGTCCATTGGTATTGTAGTACCATCGTACGTATCGGAATTTGCAATCCAACGAGACCATCATCAAACAAAATAATTGAATGCATGGACGGTTTTATTTTTGCTACAATAAAGGACGTTAAATGTTCATTATGATGACATGAACAAATGGAACAACTAGAACACACCAAACTATATTGTAATATAAAATCGAATTTATTTTATTGGCAGTTTTATATTGCTCAGTAACTTATACACTTGCGCTCGATATTTTTTTTTCTCAAATGAATATAAACCAAAAGATTCCAGTGTTGAATAAAATCTGTATTTTTGTTACATTTTCAAATGAGGTAATCGTCTTCTATCGTTAGCGTAATCGTGATTATTATAAGATTGTAAATTGAAACAAGCCAATGTTCAGTCGATTAATCTGACTCTCGGTAGATATAGCAACGATATTTCTTGCACGAATAGATTTGATTTCTGGCTGTGCCAAATGCAGTGCTATCATTACCATTAGCAAGTGATCATCAAGGTAGTATTAGTCTCTCGATGAACGGAAAAAAGAATTGACTGCTCATTTTGCATACAATTTTACATAGTTTTCGTGTTTCGCCACAACATGAACCATACTTTTGCCGCGAAATAGAAAATGAATGAACCAAAATCTTTTCGCAGATTCGTTAACATTTATCTCTCTCTCTCTCTCTCTCTCTCTCTCTCTCTCTCTCTGTGATTTTTTGTTGTTGCAAAGTACATGCCATTAATTCACTCTCTTTCTCACTCTTGCTGCATTAAATTGATGCAATTGCCAATGGCAAATAGTATATTTTCCCTCATTTTCCATTTAATTTATTTCGAGGTGTTTTTTTCGCCGGTGTCGCGGCTGTTGTTGTTATTTTTGTGGCCAATTCAAAAAAAAAATGATTAGATCTATTAACTAATCTTGCATCGCCTCAAATGTTCACCTAACATTTTTCGAGAAAACCAAATATACATCTTTCATCTAGCACCATGGTGTCAATTACTGCAATGGAGTGAATAGAGAAAAAAGCACCAAGCAACGATGATAAACGCTTACATATCGATTTGTCTTGATGGCAAATATGTATTAAAAGAATGGCCGAATAGAATTTTTTTTTGTTGTACGTAATGATAGTAATTTGAAGAGAAATTCAGCTTAGAAAAGAAAAATGAAACCAACGAAGCCCAAAACAATGAATCGTTTTTCTTTTTGTTTTTCCAAGTTATTTTGTGTATTTTCATTCTTTCGTATTTCGTTATTCTTTGGTCATTATTTTTAAACGATACTTTTTTTTTCCTCGGCTATTTGACAGCAATGGATATTCAATATGTATACCCCATGATCAGGCTGTGAGCTTATGATCTCGCTCGTCTCTCGAAAGTATCACATTTTGGTGTACATTATATGATGCTGTTGTTTTTTGTGTTCTCTCTCTTCTTAACCTCTGGCTTTCTTAACTGATTGAACTATCAAATCGTTTTACATCTCATTATATTTCCATATATTTTGCATGCACTAAACTCATTTATTAATGGAATGTCCGTGCAGAGATTGTTGTTGTGCATCTCTCTCTCTCACTCATTTCTTACTTGATGTTTTATGTTTATCTCGTCTAAGCGTATAGAATTACTATTTTTTCTTATTCTATCCATTTCGAGAGTATTGTGAACACCGAGAAGAATCATATTGCCTCTATTTGATGTGGTCAGTGTGTAACAAATCGTTCACGTTTGCTTTGGAAATCGATTTGACTTTATCTTTTGTGAAAATCAAAACACACGACGAGAATGAATGAGAAAAAATCGACTTCAAAAAATGGACAAGCTTATGTTGAAAACAAATAAATTCGTTAAGGGGCATATTTAGTATATCATCGATGTAGATTCACTTGTGAATAAGAAGAAGCATACAAAATATTGTCCATAACATGAATAATATTGAGTGTGAACTAAAAATAAACCATTTTTTTTATTAGCGTCGTTGTTATTTTCTACGCCAAGACTTTCTCAAACACACACTGTTTTACTGCTTGGTGGTTTACTTCACGGTTCAATGTGTACATATTCGCAAACAGTTAGCTAGCGTATGAGCCTGATTTGTGTGTATTTCCTATGTATTGAGTGTAATGTATAAGAAAGGTTTTCATAAATCACTGCCACTTAATTTTTCGAGAAACAAACGGCAAGATTAATTGCTTAACATTAATTTATTGTTTCCTATTAATTTGTCTGAAACCGCGAGACGAAATGCAAATATTAATTTTACTTGTTGCTATTTTGTTGTTTAGTTGGTGTTAATATTTTTCCTTGTTGAAGGCACTGTACAGTGTACACAACAGCTGCTGCCACCACCGATTTTGCTGCCGCCACCGCAGCCGCCATCGTAGCCGTCGTCTTAATCGTTACACCGGCATTAGTTCAAGACAAGGAATAGTAACTGTGCAATTAAAAAAAAAATTCTTGGGCGAGTGGAAATAATGGCACCATATATAGAGTAGGCTGTTTGTTCTCTTTTTTTAAGTGCATATGAAGCAGCAAATACTTGGCTTTTGATGCAGTAGTGCACTCGCTTCACATATTCAGCCGATATGATTTGCGATGTCGATTTCTTGTTTTAAATATGAGTTTAATGTCCAAAATAAGAACAATTCGAAATCCAATTATCTGTATTTTATCAATAAATTCCTGATTTTTCATCTTCGACTTCGCATGTCACGACACATATAAGCTAGACTTTCAAACTAGTCAAATTGTTTGATTGATACGTTTTCAAAATGTGTATCGCTTTTCATCCGAACAATTTGAATGTCTATCTAAGGTGTGTGTGTGTGCGTGTGTGTGTCAGTACAGTATTCAAAGTTAAGATGTTCAACGGTGTTCAGTCGAAAACTGAATAACAACATTCGCAAAAAAGTTGTCTGAATTACGACAAATAAGCACAAGTACCATGAAACAAGAGCAATAGAAAAAACGCCAAATATTTTTCTTTGATAAATCGTTTTTCAATATTTCGAGTAGTAAAATCTCGTAAACATGTGCTAAATTGCTACAGTAGACAACTATTAAAGCGTGCGCACTAGTCTTGATGGTGTTCTGGTTGCCTGAAAATCGTTTTTTTTAGCATTTTGGTTTCGTTTGCTTGAAAATATTAGCTAACCGTTGGTGTTGTTGTATGCTCAATGTTGCATTGTTATCGGTTTCGTTGACGGCTTGTTTTTTCTCCTTGTGGCCAGTTTGTTGTGCGCGCTTGCTGCCACATCACATATCCAAGAGAGTTCGTGCGATTTTGTTGTTGCTCTCTGTGGAATAGGCAATATTAAAGTGGCGGCATGTGTGCGAATGAGCACGTCGATCGAACGTAAATCGAACTATAATTAAATGCGTTTATTATGTACGATCACATAAAGATACACAAATGTTTGCATTTTTACATGAAACTTGAACACACCGTCCATAACAGGGTCATTTTTTACATTTTTTTCCCTGGCGAATCGATCGTAGCAGTTTACTTTTTCATCTTTGTCTTCTACAGTGTTTTTCCTTCTCTCTTCATTGATTTGTCTTTTATTGCATTTTTTTTTAACAACAGTGCAACAGCAACAAATTTTTCGTTTTATTCTTATTTATTGATTATTATTTTAACGATGATAACACAAAAGAAATCCATTGATATACATGAAACAGTCGTCGCAAAACTAAGCGATCGCGAGTGGATTGCGACGAACAACGATCACACAGTGGAATTGTTTAGCCGATTTAATGCGATATGTGGTGCGTGCACCATCTGTACGTATTCCTTATGTATACGATCGCAAGTTTTAATAGATAACGCATTTTGTCGGCAATTCCAAAAGGCAAAGGCACCCAATGCATTGTACTGTTTTTGTTGTGAGTCGTTTCTTATGTACATATATTGTATATTTTTCATATTCACTTCTCTTATTTGGCTCATTTTATCCATGCACATATATATGTAGTATGTATGTTTGCTTCGGAATCGCATCAATATGTGCTGAACCAAACTAAATGCAGCTAAAGCAAACTGTACCAAAGAAGACAACAAGGACAAATAAAAAACTTGTTTTCGATAAGAATTCATAATTTGAAAATTTTGTATCGAATGAATATCAGTTCAAGTATTGTGTGTGTGAAAGCATAAAGAAGAGCATAGAAGAAAAATAGCAAAGCACCTAGACCACGAAAACTATGAAATGAGATTTAAATGTTGCTCTTACAAATAATTTTACATTTATTTGGCTGGATGTACATATATTCATTTTCTTTGTCTAGCCATTTTGCATGCGCACTCTGTCTACCTTGTTCGTTACGTTCGCTTCACACTGTAGATGGAAAAGCACTTTGAAAACTAGAATGATTTCGCCGCGAATGTAATGGTCTTCAGGCAATTCAATTTGTGCATTGGGTAAAAATCCAAATCATTACGTGGTGATTCGTGGTGTCAAAAAAAGAAAACCAACAACAAATACATGGATTATTGCCTGAAAATTTATTGATACAATGAAATTAAGCGGTGGAAATTAAATTCGGCTTTACATCAAATCAATTACAACAAATCAATCGATAACTCATCAAATCGGTTTAAGCAC